GTTGTTTTTTTTTTTAATACTTAAAGATATTATCGCTACATCTCAGAAATGACCAGCAATCTTACAGATTCTTCTCTTGCAAGAGAAAACAAGTGGAAAAAAAAAAAAATGAAAAAATAAAAATAAAAAAAAACTTGTCGGCTCAATCAGATGTACAGCAGTACAGGATTGTTTTTATAAAGTCACATTTGGCAAATGGGTTTCTTTATTGTTTGTTTTCAGTCCACATCCTGGACAGAGCGATGCAGTGGAGACACAGTGACCTCCGCGCCCTGACACCAGCTCAACTGCAGGGCAGCCACGTCTGATATGAAGCACTGCACGCGGCGACCTGTGGCGGCTGCACGTGTGCAATATAATAGTTGCTGAAGTTTATGTCCTGCACGTACGGCGCTGGCTGGTAGTAACAGGTCACATTGGTTACCGTGGGGATAGCATTCTGCTCAGCCAGCACCTTCAGCGCCAGCATGGAGATGAGGCTGAGCGTCTGGCGCCGCTCGTGGCCCATCAGACACACTGTGCTCTCGTTCACTACTTGGTGCAGAGTCGTGAGGCACTCGTACCGCTTGTGCTCCATCCCGGCGAAGTGGTTCTGCAGGTAAGCCTCGAGCTTTCTCTGCTGCTCACCTATGTCGGGGAAGTCAATGAAGAAGCGCGAGCACATGTAGCGCTGCATCTGTTTCATGTCCGCCTCTGACGAGGGTCTGAAGCCTCGCACGAGCAAGTGGCAGTACTTCAACAAGCCACCCCCTCTGATTTCTTCAGGGGTGCGAGTAGCTATGGTCCTCTGACACAGATGTTCCATAGCTTCTTTGAAGTCCCCGTACACGCTTTCGCCAATTACGGTGGGGTGAAAGCTCTCAGACATGGGCGTCTCAGAGCAGCGGTCAAACAAGAGCAGAGAATCAAGGCAAATCTGGAAGGAGTCTACACTGAATTCAAACTGCCGCCGTAAAGAGTCCACAAACTTAAGCTCCACGTTCTTGCCTGTGTTGTTGGACAGCGAGATGAGGCTCCAACGGTCCGTGTCATTGCAGACTTTCACAAGTTTCTGCACATAGGCCTCTTTAAGGGTCAGTGCTGTGATGCGCTCCTTAGAGACCCCGGCTGGCAAGAAGTCCAACAGGCAGTCCAGCACGACGTCTTTCACCAGACGGAAGGCCTGGTCATCTTTCAGCGACACGCCAAAGATCAGGTCGAGGTCCTTGTAGCCTAGTCCCGTGTCCTGATGGAGCACATGGCTGGCAGCCGAGCCGTTCAACCTCACATCCTTAACATGCACACCTCTTTCCTCCAGCCTCGCTCGCACAACCTGGACAGGGACGAGACAAATACAATCTTATTAATAACATACAGGTTCCTTGAACAGGAGGCGAAAGTAATTGCTTCATAGGCTCAAAAAAAATGGCATTTAAAAAGACTCAAGTCAAATCAATAGCTGGCATTAAGGGTCAATAGCCTTTCCTTTGCTCCAGTGATCAGCACGATATTTAAACACAGGAGTCTTCTGTTTGTGTAGCCACATCTGAAAAGGATCATCTACATCATCGCTATTAGGTGCGAAGGGAAGGGTCGGAGTCCTCAAATAAGTCATCAAAGATTGATTGCGCTTACATGCCCAAAGGGAAATGATACCCCACATGCGCCATAAAACATTCTGTTCTCAAACATTTGGAAATATTTAAAGAGTCGAGTGGTAAGAGCTGCAGCTTCCTTGTTCTATCCGTCAGTCTATTTGGGAAGTTTGTCACTTTAATTAGGCATATGCACAGCAGACGCTAGAGATGATTAGGATAAGAGTGTAAATATGTGCTTAGCTGACTAAATGTGTTAGCGGCACTTTGACGTCACAGCATTTTGGGAACTGAAACAGCCGAACCTGCTACACAAATTAGTTGTTACGCCTCGCATGCAATCCTAAATCTTCCTACCGGCACTAACCTGTCAGATTAGTGTCTGTTGACAATCCCTCCCATGGTGATCAGATAACATGACAGTGCTATTTATACATACTGGGTCAGGCTACAGACTGACAAACACTTGAAGACAAGTCATCCCATCACACAACGGAGGAACAAAATTATAACTGAAACCTAGAAGCGTTGCAGTTGTTTGGCCATAAAGAAGCTCCAATTGGGTTCAAATTCCATTTAGAAGCAATGATAATGTTTCTAGTTTCTTCTGTGACCAACCTGATCTGCCAATCACAGTAAAATTCACTCAGCCCCACACTGAACTCCTTCCTTTGCTCCTACATGCTTGGATGCAGGTGAGTAGTTAAGATCCCCTCGCTTCCCCTGGAAGCCCAGGTATTATTCTGCTGGCTTAGGATCAAATCCTTCCAGAAAGAAGACTCCAGCTCCATCTGAACTAGTCGGTCTCTCTTCTTAAAATAATAATGAAGAAAGGGCATGTGAAAATGTGTGTTGTTCATTCATAAACCCTGAGCAGAGCATATGCTGTTATCCTAATTGATGCGGGACTCTTACTCCTGCAGGGCCTCATGATGCTGTATCGGACACAGCATGTTTATACCTCCAACTCCGCAGCTAGACAAAGCCCCACACTCACTCATGCCTTGTGTATGCATAAAAGGCACTCACCTAGATCAATTAAAGACAAGGATAAATAGCCTTACTCTATACATCTTGCCAGGAGGTTCATTAGCTTTCCCTACATGAATCATAGATGCATTCTACGGGGTTTCCATGAGTCCAGAGCAAGCCTGAGAGTCCCCTCATCTGGGTCTCAAACCTGCATTTAGGCCTTTCTGCATGTTAAATGGAGCATTCATCTTTTCCACAACCACAAGCATCAAGCTCCTGGGCTCGCATGTTTGCTGAGCTCATCTTGAATATGTCAGTGAGTAAATTACAGAA